CCTTAAAAGGATCTCTTTGAAACAAAGGCAGATTCACTTTTAAATGTCTGTAAACCGGCGGGCTGCATCTCCCTCCCCCCGTGGCTTCAAGACAATCCTCCTCCTTGCTGATCCCTTTCTAGATGTAGGGAAGAAACCCGGCACACAGCCAGGGTGGACTGACCTCCAGGTAAACTTACCTGCTGTCTGTGTCCAGTCCCATGACATCCTCCTTCTCAAACGGGATGCAGAGGAGGGTGATCTTGTCCCCAGACTTGTCGAGGGCCCCATCCAGCTACTTGGACTTGGGCAAGATGAAGAGTGATTCAGTGAAGTCGTCGATCCTCTTCTCCACCACCCTGCAGTCCTCGTAGATTGAAGGCCACGTTGGTGAGCGACTGCTCGTCTACCTCCCCATACAGCACAAAGACAAATAGCTGAGTGTCATTAAGCATGGTGCCATACAGCTCCTCTGCACGTGGAGCTTCTCGAAGGCCTTGGCTGAGAGGCAGTAGGTACTGGTGACGGGGCCCACTACCTTGCGGTGGGTCTGAAAGTCGCTCCACCCATTCTCAGGTGCATAGTGGTGCCTGTAGTGGATACAGAGTGCCCACTGGGAGACGCACGGGCTGATCTGGCTCACCAAGGAGATTCGCTTATAGATGCAAAAGAAATTCTCCTTTGAGATGATCCCCATGGGTTGGACCACCACGGGAAGAGTCCCATAGTCCTCAGCACACTGCACGTACTCAGGGATGCTCATGTTGCAAGCCCTGCCGAGAGGGGAGAGGAGATCGAGGTACATACTGTGCTGTGGGCTGCGGGCCCATCTGGGTTACGGTGATCTGGTGTGTACCAGCCAGAAGGCAAGGGAAGTCAAAGCAAATCCGGGGGTACAGTTTGTCCTCAGAGTCTGCACATGGCTACTGTAGCTCGGATCACATTACCCAGCTTTTGTTCTAGGCTTCCTGCACCTGCAGAGAAGGGTCATTTCTTGTTTTCTGTTTCCAAGCACCTAGCCAGGCCCTGATGCAAAGTCAGTGCTCAAAACTGCTGAATAAAGAAATGCATAAAGGCTGATTTCCCCAACCCTCTTCAGCAGAATATAAAGAAAAGGACCACAGTAGGATCAAAAGATCTGGATTTCTATCCAATTTATTTGAACTCCTAAGCTTCAGAATGATTCAGAATAATGGATAAGAAAACTTGCCTTGGGGAGGAGGGTACAGTTCAGTGGTACAGCACGTGCTTAGCATATACAAGGTCCTGGGTTCAAACTCCAGTACCTCATTTTAAAAAATGAAACAAATACATAAACCTAATTACCCTCCTCAAAAAATATTTTTTAATTCAAAATTCAAAAAACACCTTGCAATTGACACAACATTGTAAACTTGAATATACTTCAATTAAAAAAAAAAAACTCCTTGCCTTACAAGAATATATCTGGATTACGCAAGTTTGCAAATGTAAAATGCCTAGGATACCACCTGCATAAATAGGGGGGACTGTACAAATTTACTATCGCTCCTTTATGAGCTATATTTCCTTTGGGGGTGTTATAACCTCTCAGAGCTAATTTTCTCAGATTAAAAAAAAAAAAAAATAAACATTACCTGATTCTCAGTACTGCTGAAGAATCAGATAACCCTAAGAAAGCATCTGACCTACAGAGGTTACTCAATAAATGTTTGTTGAATGAATGAATAAACAAACAAAGTGAATGCTGCTCCCTGCCATAGACCATCATAGTGGTACTGCCTAGAAATCCCAGGCCCAAGTTCCACCCGACTCTACACTAACCCTGTGTGATTCCCTAAGCCCCAATTTAATCATGAATAGAAATGAGGGCAATAGCACAAACATCAAACTGTTAGTGAGTCAGTAATGAATTGTACCCCAACACTGCAAGATGGAACCATTAAGAAAACTGGGCAAAGGGCCCATAGGCCCTCTCCATATAATCTCTTT